CCGCCAGCTCAGGTGTATGTGGCTGGTGCCTTAGCCGTTTGAGCCACAGGCACCCAGCCAAGAGCTGTATCTTTTACAAGCCATTGAGAGCAGAAGGCAGGACTGTCCCTGGGGCCCATTTAGAAGGTCTTAAGTGCTTTGGGAGAGTCCATTATCTTGCAGTGCTAGGATCACATCCCTTGAGCAGGCAGCTGGAGGACAAATCTCGCTGCTTTGGGAACAAGGAGGTCCACAGGGTGCTGAATCTCGGTCCTCTTTTCTAAGCATCATTAAGGTTTCATTTTGAAATTTCTGTCTCTAATGATATCCCAAGAGGTCTGTAAAAGATGCCATTTCAAGTGCACTTATGTGGGATGGTCGCCATCCTGGGTGAATTGCCTCTAGTCCCAGATTTTTGTACAGAAAGCCTTGACTCCCGGCTTCAGCACGCCAGGGGCCTGGGGCAGTGCTGAGTTGCAGTGTTTCTAGGGGCTGGCTGTGGCTTCACAAGGCAATGCATTGCCTCACCTCATGCCTTACCATCTTACCCCTCTTGACTCTGCCCCCAGTTTACTTCTTGTTCAACCCTTACTACACTGCTTCCTTCCTCTTCCATCCCCTTACCCCTTCTTTTAGCAACCAAAGGTGGAGAACCTGTGACCTTGGGGCCAAATGTGGCCTTCTGGATCCTTGATTGCATTTTGACTGAATCCAAATTTTACAGAACAAATACTTTTTTTTTTTGAGCCAGAGCCTCAAGTTGTCACCCTGGGTAGAGTGCTGTGGTATCACAGCTCACGGCAACCTCCTGGGCTTAAGCGATTCTCTTGCCTTAGCCTCCCAAGTAGCTGGGACTACAGGTGCCCACCACAATGCCCAGCTATTTTTTGGTTGTAGTTGTCATCGCTGTTTGGCAGGCCTGGGCTGGATTCGAACCTGCCAGCTCTGGTGTATGTGGCTGATGCCCTAGCCGCTTAAGCTACAGGTGCCGAGCCAGAATGAATACTTTTAATAAAGGGATTTGTTCTGTGAAGTTTGAATTCAGTTGAGAGGACTTATTTGGGGATTTAGAGGGCCGTATGTGGCCTTGAGATAACTCTGTCCTTCTTCCTGAAACATTTCCAAACATATAATATCCTAATAATTCCTTCCAATGGAAAAAGTGCAGTTGGTATCCAAAATGAATAAGCTTGCATTTATTTGGACAATTAGTATGAGAACCAGCCAGTTAATAGCTGTTTTAGCATTATCCAGGATAAGTAGGGCCGGGTATGGTGGCTCACGCCTGTAATCCTAGCACTCCGGGAGACATAGGCAAGAGGATCACTTGAGCTCAGGAGTACAAGGTCAGCCTGAGCAGGAGTAAGACTAAAAATAAAAAAACTAGCCAGGTGTTGGGTGTACACCTGGGCACCTATAGTCTTACCTACTCTGGAGGCTGAGGCAAGAGGATCGCCTGAGCCCAAGAATTGGAGGTTGCTCTGAGCTATGATGATGCCACAGCACTCTACCCAGGGCTACAGAGTGAGACTTTGTCTCAAAAAAAAAAAAAGAGTAAGTAAAACGTCGTTTTAGGGAGGAAAAAGAAGGTGCTTCTTTTGGCTTTATAAGGAAACAGCAAGCTGCACGAACACTTCTGATTGGATGCCTGTTTTTTATTTGAAATGTATTCAGCGGCTCGGCGCCTGTGGCTCGACCGGCTAAGGCGCCAGCCACGTACACCGAAGGTGGTGGGTTCGAATTCCCAGCCCGGACCCGCCAAACAACAATGACGGCTGCAACCAAAAAATAGCCGGGCGTTGTGGCGGGCGCCTGTGGTCCCAGCTACTTGGGAGGCGGAGGCAAGAGACTCGCTTGAGCCCAGGAGTTGGAGGTTGCTGTGAGCTGTAATGCCACGACACTCTACCCAGGGGGACAGCTTGAGGCTCTGACTCAAAAAAAAAAAAAAAAAAGAAATGTATTCAGCATGTCCTCTGTTGTACACTAATATGGTTTTAAATCTGTAAATACTTATTAAATTTAACAAGAGAATGAATGAACAGCAAGTCTGTAGCAACTGTGATGGACAGTCTAATGTTCGGTTGTGGGTGGCCCCTATACTGGTATGTTCCCTGTGATTTCATAGCACCCAGGGTCTCAACACTCTGGTTTATTATTTTAAACTTGAACATCTTCCTTGCTTTGTCTCTATCAGAATCTGATTCTGATTCAATATTCTTTAAAGCAGAAAACGATTGAGTAAAAATTAAAAAGAAAAGAAAACCTTCCTTTTGTACAAGTAGACGATGTTCTCAGATCGGCAAACTGTTGTAAGCTTTGTAAGTTTGTAATAGGGTTTTTAAAGTGGAAAGTTTAAGTTGGCTCAGCAGCCCAGCAGTCAGAAGGAGAGAGTTTGATTCCCAGCGCTGCCACTTACCATCTGTGTAACTGACCTCAGCGGTGTTCTTAGCCTTCCTTAGGCCTCCTTTAGAAAATAGAAATTGACAGTAAATACCTTACAGAGACAGTGTGTATAAAGAGCTCAACACAGTGCCTGGCATTCAATAGATGTTTGGATTTATTGTATACTCAAAAAATGTTAAGTATATTGGCTTAGTGCCCATAGCACAATGGTTACAGTGTCGGCCACATACACCCAGGCTGGCGGGTTTGAACCCAGCCCTGGGCCTGCTATACAACAATGACAACTGCAATAACAACCAAAAAATAGCCGGGCGTTGTAGCGGGGGCCTGTAGTCCCAGCTACTTGGGAGGCTGAGGCAAGAAAGAATCACTTGAGCCCAAGAGTTTGAGGGTGCTGTGAGCTGTGACTCCATAGCACTCTACTATGGGTGACAAAGTGAGACTCTGTCTCAAAAAAAAAAGTTAAGTATAGTAAGAGTAAGCATTATTATAAGAAGCAAGATAAATAACCACAGATTGTACACATGCAGACACACATATATTTAATCACAGAATCTCGAGGCTGAAAAATTTCACAAACCCTGAAAAGTTCAGACACACATTTGATGCCCGAGACTCCTCTAGACACCCCCAGTAAATGATCCCAATGCATGCCTAGTCCCTTCCAGGGATGGAGAGCTCCCTCCCTCTGAACAAACAGAAGACTCTTTCCTACCTTAAGCTGCACCCCATCTCTCTGCAAATTCAACCCATTTGTCTTTGTCCAATGCCCTTGAGGACTTATCAGTGAGGGTGACATATTGTCCTTTCACTGAAGCAAGGTTTCAACTCTGATGCAGAAGTCTCTCTCTGTAAGACAAAAGTCAGAAATCCAAAGGTTTACCCCTTCTGATGACACTAGTCATGATCACCGTGGGATCATCTCTGGAGCTTGGGGGCCCATGGAGCCCCCAGGAATGTAGTCAATATGTCCTCACCCACTCCCCAGCCTCCATCTCTAGAACATTCCCCACCTTCCCCAACTCCTCCTGCCTCCTTTCTTTTGAGCATCACAGCATTCATCTTTCCTTTTGGTTCACACAGCAGGTCCCATCCATGTGGGCACGGCAGGTCTGCAGATGCTGTCAGTACAATGTATGGTTCTCCAGGTAGACGCTTTGGGCAGCCGCGTGTCAATCTGCCGCCATCAAACAGAGTTTGGCAGTTGTTCAAAATCTTTGTTTTCTCCCAGATGACAACCACCCATCTTCTCTGTCCCTTGTCCTCTTAACTCTGCTTGTGAGTCAGGTAGAAAACCAGCTGGTTTACCCCTATGTCTGCAGTTCAGCGCTTGGTTTTTCCTTGCCTCCTTTCCAGGCTGTGCTCTAGATGCAGAGGTTCCTGAACCATTCTCTGGCCCCCAGACATCAACATATCGCTCATCTACCAAGACCTTAAGACCTGGGGTTAGGAAGTGGATACAGAAAGTACAGGACCAAATTAGGGTGACACTCATGGTAGGGTTTTAGCCTCTTACATACTGGGGTAATATACTAACTGTTTCTTGGTTTCAACTTCTGTCAGTATCATCTACCTTAAAATACCAAAACAATTGTCTTGTTTCTCCTGCAAGAGTGTGGGATGCTCACTATTGAACATTTTTATTGTCTATCCTATAAATGGCTTACATCAAGACACTAGGCATTGATGGCTTTTAAAATAACAGAGTGAGGAAAGAGCCTCTTTTCATGATTGTGTTCTAACATCCCCAGTGTTGACCACCGCTGACATAAAATGGATCAGGTGACTCTTTTCATAACTGTGACATCAACAAACAGAAACTATATTTTGTGTTAATTTTCTTTGGGGTTGAGCATCTCACAAAAGCACCTATCACACTTAGTTCTTTTTCTCCTGCAGGCAATTGTAGCGTCCATTAGATATCGTCCAAGCACTGATTAAAAGAGGAATTGATATAGGTACATTACGTTTCTAAAAGATACCAGTAGCTAATAAGTGGATCCAAGCTAATCAGCTGAAAAACTATTACAAAGAATAAAAGAATGCAGTCAGCTGCCAAAAGTAATACACAAAGTAATTCCTTTC